TCACTTGAGGCTGCTGTGAGGGAGGAGATACCAGGCTACAAACTCGGGCTGAGCTGCTGCAACTTGGCTTACGCTGGCTTTTTTTTCTGTATGTTGGTCCTTTGTGTTTGGAGATGAAAGGTGCAGTGAGACAGAAGGGCCTCTCCTTTCTCCTTCAGAAACTGCCTTCTAATCTCTGTTTTTCCACAGTTCAAACGTAAGACTTTAAAAGAGATTTCAAAGCTGCATCTTGTATATGGAAATTCATAGCTCCAGGCAGGTTCATGATCAGCCCTGAGATTTCAAGCTTAAGAGTAAGAACCTGCAGCCTAAATATAACTCCTTTTACTTGTGCTTTGCCCTTCTCTGTTTTTTTTTCTGTTTAAAGCCATCAACAGGAATAAAATAATACCAGTTTTCATGGATTGTCTATATAGTTTTACTTTAGGTAGCTATTTCAATTTTCTTGTAAAAATACTGGGTCAAGGAAATATGAACACAAGCCATTTGGATAAACTACATGCTTAGGAAACTGAACTCTATACAACAAGGCAGTAGCTGGAGGTGTCTCAGTAATCCCCAGAGTGGGGAAATAACCAAACGTCTTTGAGGGCAGTGGGAGCACAAGTATCATGCTATACACTGGGCTTGGGGATGGGCTCATTTTACATGTGAAGAATTGGGGAAGAAGAATGAAAGAAACTCCATCAGCTGAAAGCTTTGTGGTCCTCAAAACAGTCCTCACTGCTCAATAGCAGTGGGGTATTTTATAAATGTTAGTTACCTGCTTTTGCATGTGGATACCACCCTACTTGATTCCTTCGGGGTTTACAGGCATGGTGGTAAGCCAAGACCAAAGTTTACCTGCAACAGAAGCTCAGTGGTTAAAGCTCTGAAAGTGAGAGGGATGCAGACAGCAGGAGCAGGGCAGGAAAAGGATGGGCTCCTTTGGCTGGGCATAGCAGCAGGGCTCTGTGTGCGACCAGAGACAGTTACCCACCTCCAACCACCCCATCATCCATGGCAAGAGGCACCCAGTCAATCTCTGGAGGCCAAAGGGTAGCAGAGGAGGGTGACAAAATTAAAGGATATGATGGTTTGGGTTTGTAGGTCAAGCTGGGAAACCTGGATTTGTACTGTTGCTTTTTTTGCTTTTGGCCTGCCGCTCTCCCACTGGAGGCTGTTTCCAAGTCCTTGATTTTAGCATTGCATAAGAAGCTCTAATTGAATTTTATAAAGCAAAATATGAACACTGAAGGCCCTGTGAAATGACACATTATTTTTTCAGTAAACCAGCCATAGCAGAGAAAAATCAAAAGAAGAAACAATATGTGCCATTAGGTTTTTGGGTTTTGTTTTTGTTTTTGGTTTGTTTTTTTTTTTTGAGTCAGAAAGGAAGGATTATTGGAAAACTTACTAGGTAGGTAAGAGAAAACTGTTTAACTATCATTGCCTTTCATTCCAGTAAGCAGAAGACAAAAACATTTGAGAAATCAATAGTAAGGCAGGAATAAGCACAGACATACGTGGGACAGATGGAGACAGAGAAGGTTGTTCCCATCTCTACTGCACTTTCACTGATTTGTTAGTAAAAGGAGAAATTTCAGGGCCATAAAAATGGTCAGAGGGCTGGAACACCTCTCCGGTGAAGAATGGCTGAGAGAGTTGGGGTTGTTCAGCCTGGAGAAGAGAAGGCTCCGGGGAGACCTTGTTGCAGCCTTTCAGTACTTAAAGGGGGCTTATAAGAAAGATGGGGAGAGACGTTTTACCGAGGCCTCTAGAGACAGAACAAGGGGCAGTAGTTTTAAACTGAAAGAGGCTAGATTAAGTTTGGACGTAAGGAAGAAATTTTTTATGATGAGGGTGGTGCGACACTGGAACAGGTTTCCCAGGGAAACTGTGGCTGGTGGCTGGCCTATCATTGGAAGTGTCTGAGGTCAGGTTGGATGAGGCTTGGAGCAGTGAAAGATGTTCCCCGCTCGTGGCAGGTGGGTTGGACTAGGTGATCTTTAAAGGTCCCTTCCAATCCAAACCATTCTACGAAATAGTAATCCAGGGTGATTTTTTTTTCTAGTCTTCTTGAGGGACAAAAATACCCATTTTCTTCAGGAGAAAACTGGAGGGTTGGTTACCAGGACTATCTACGCTTCATTGATCAGGAGCAGAGGCTATCTAGGACTAGAATTTAGCTAGTTTCTAGCTGTCATACCTTTCTCCCACTCGCAAAGCTGCAGCTAAATCAATAAGATTAACCAAGATATATGCAGTTCTTCAGGGCTCTGCCAGACCTTCTGCCAGGTCTTACGTAGTTGACCCATTAGAGTTTCCTCCTGCTTTCTGTTCACACTGATCCACTGGAAAGCCAGCCCTGGAGACCTGCCTCACTGACCCCTATATTCATTAAGAATAATGGTTGATAGCGTATAACGGAATAACAGCAGCACAATTAAAACAGCTCATTGTTGTGGCAGAGCTTTCATGGGATTGGCAGAGAGTCCTAGAAAGATCCCTGAGCCCATCTATCACCCTCTGCAACTCCTACAGCAGTCGTGTGTCCGTCTGACAGAGTGTGGCATGTACAAGTACTACAGCAGTCACCACTGTGCATAGCAAGAGGACATGTCCCTTTGCTTTGTTGCCATCTCCTTAGACTTGGCACCTTAAATATGTTGTCTCCTTCCTCCCTATTTCCTTTCCTTTTAATTTTCTTCCTACTCCAGACTGTGGGGAATGGTTTTCTTTAATTCAAGTGTGCCTGGCACCTGATTCTTTTTGTGTCACCCAGGAGTCAAGGGCATTTTGAGGTCTTGTTGAGAAATAAATAAAAGATTTGGGTCATATTTCTATGTTCACATTGTGGCAGCCTGGTTAGCCATCTGGAGCTTTCCACCTTTGGAATTTGATTGAGAGAATGGGGAGAAGAACCCCTCCCTCTTCTCAAAGCTACTCTTCATGTCAGCTATTTGCTGTGCCGAGTAAAAATGAATAGCAATGTTTTATCCTGGGAAAGGAGAACCGCTGAATCCAGGCAACTGAATTAAAATATACTGTCAACTTTTAACAAAAATTGATCATCACTGAGTGTGACAAGCACAGGCAAGAGAAGAAAAAAAAAAAAAAAAAGAAATCTATATACAGAATAAAAGTAATCTTGAGGTTTTGCATAACCACCAGAGCTGCCATTCTAACAGCTGCCCATACGGGTGGAGGCAAGGGTTACCAAGGGGTGCTAAGAGAACCCCTAAAAATCATGCTGCCATGGGAGCAAAGCTGCTAGGGAGATGGTCCAGCAGCAGTGAGTGCCTGGGCAAAATCATCTTGGGCAACTGCCCAAGCAGCCCAGATTTTCTGTTCATTCTGCAATGGCACATCCCATCATCTGCTCACGGCCTGGAACAAGGGAACAAGAGAGCGCCACCCAGGTTTGCAGCTTTTGGTCATCCTGTGCACAGGAAAAAGTGGCTGTGTATGACGTGCGCATCTGGTGACATAAAGCATGTTTATACCTGGGCAACAGAGCGTGGTGTCGAGTGCCCCAAGCTAGTGACGACCTGAGCTGGCACAGCCTACTGCAACGAAGGACTCCAGCGATTAGTCACCTGCATCATGAGACAGGACGTCAGGCTCTCCATATCCTGAATCCCATAGCAACTCCACTCAAGGACAGGAGCCCCAGCGAGAGGGAGCACTGGATAATACACAGCGAACAGATCGAGGGGAGCTCTAACCAGCAAAAGTATCATACCAACAGGGGTGTCACACTTACACACATTAAGCTTGCACTTCCCGAAGAGTGCTGCATTTTCAGGTCCTTCCCCTTCCTGTATTCCTTACTCGTATTTACAGGTAGCCATGGTGACTAGAGTTAGACAGGAGATTTAGGTCAGGCACAATGAATACTATAATACACATAAACAGAAAACACCTGCCTTAGAACAGCACTTGCCTGATAGGGAGATGGCCACATTTTGACTTGAGCTATAGCCCTTCCCTTCCCCTTCATGCATCAAAAACTTTTGCGCAGATCCTTTTGCTCAGCCTGGAGGCAACCAACTGGAGCATTCAAAAAAAAAAAATGGAGTATTGCCCTTTCCCCTCTTTGGAGCACAGAGCAGAGATGCGCCCTAGACAGCACTGCTCATGGTGAATGAGATTGTTCTTAACCTGTTCCCTGTCGCCACGATGCACATCCTGCCTCTGGACGTACTTCTCCCCTCTCTTGGATGCGAGAGTCGGAGGCAAGTAAGCCCCATCTGTCCCAAATCCAATAGTAGCCACTGTGGCAAATTCTGCCCTGCTTTATTTCTCATAAACATATGGACTCCCTCCATAAATCCCTCCACAACTACTGTTGTGCTGGAGTAAACTTCCTTTTGGCACAGTATCAGCTTAAGAAGCTTCAGTGCACGGGGAATTTGGCACAATGGCAAATTACCTGCATGACATGTGGATGGTTATAGAGCTGACATTTCCCCTATTGACAATATCAGAAGAAATGTGAACAGGCAACCTAGAGTACAACACTGGTTTGTCTCTAATTTTCTCCCCACTCAATAAATGCTTCAGAGACTTTTTTGCAAAGTAGAAATACTTGTGTATGGTCTTGCGCTTAAAATCATATCCAAATTATAATAGAATACATTTCTCTAAAGCAAAGATAATAGGATGAGGGCTTGGGAAAATAATGTTTTAGGTGAATGTCTGCTAGAGACAGGAAAGCTGTCTGGCAACAAATTCTTTGGGGAACACAAAGCCTGATACTCTTGCTGAAAGGGATCAAGTGAAATTACAAGTCAGGGAAAAGTAACATGTCTTGATAGGTAAATGCAAAAGCCTGATTGCTCCCCTCAATTATTCCAATCTTATTTTGTGAATTCACTATTTGAGAAGTGCTTATTTCCGAATTATACTGAGATGAGCAAGAGGATAAGTCAGTGAAAATACTAAATCAAAACCAACCATTTTATATAATATGAGGAACCCAACTGATTTAGTACAACAAATTCTGTACACGTTTGAAATATCATGAAAATAGTGTCTTTAATATACAGTTTATATACTTACAATACACTGTTTAAGTTTGTTCATATACATTACAGGGATATTTATTTGCACCTGGTTTAAATAATAATCTGCCTTCAGCCTTTTACACAAAAGCCCAAAACAGCACAGAATTCCACAAAAACCATGCTTCGTTTTATAACGGAAATGTACTAAGCCAAAGTTCTGGGGCTTTCTCTTTTTCTTCCCAAGTGTTACTTTTTTGACCTACCCAAAGTGAATCTAAATAGCTAAGAACTAACAGATATTTTTAATATAATTCAGAAGATTGTCCAAGCCAAGAGAATCACTCTGCAGATTTTCACGCTGAAAATTTGGTTGTTATGCACAGAAATGATGAAGTTCGAACAACTCCTGGACTGTTAGGAGTTTAAGATATAACAAATAGTCATTTATTGCTAGGTCTCAACAAGGGGCCTGCATTTCCCTACTGCCCTGCTGTCCCCAATATTGTGAATAAAAAGGATGATCCCTCACTTCGATTAAAATTTCATTCTAGCTTGTCCATGGGAACGCTGCAACTTCAGAGCATCAAAAAGAAGAGCCAGGAGAGCTGGGCTAAGCCCTTGTCCTTTCACATAGAGGTGGTGTTGGGCTTTTAAGTGGCGTGGTGTACCCCCTGCCTGGCCTGCAGGCAGGACTTTGCTGGCCTGCGTTGCAGGCAGGCACCCGCTGGGCATCACGCAAGTAGCTGGTGCCAGCACTTTATTTAGTGGGGAGACAATCAAGGAGTTGATTCAAGAAGAAAACATAGGAGAAAACACTTCAAGTATTTATAGACAGATTTGAAACTCTGTGGGTTTTGAGACAGCATTGCTATTTACGCTGGTTCTCTTGAAGCTGTTGTTGTGGAATAAAGTCCATTAAAGTGGCAAGTAAAACTGCTGTATTGGAAAAAAACCCTGTGTAATACAGTTACTTCAAACCCTTGCTTCTAGCTGCAAAGAACACTTCAAAATACATTTTCCTTCTCATTTTGGATGGACTAAATGTTTTCTAAGGTTCTAGCCATAGGCCATTTTTACAATACGGCAAGAATAAGAATGCAAATACGCGCTTTGAGTTGATTTCAATACAGCTTTGGTTAGCCAGCCAGGCAGCAATACAAAGGATCTTAATCCTAGGCACAAGTGTTTAAAGGAAACCAGCATTTCCTCTCACATTTCCTTCCAGTCTGTCCTGTGGCCTGTTCTGTGTCCACCTCTAGAAAACCCCCCATGCCAGAATCCAGCTTTCACCACTGAAGGCAGCATCGGTTCTTGCGCCGCCGCACGACTGTTGCATAGAAAGGATGTGTTTCCTGGTGCAGGACGAAGAGACAGCTTCATACAAAATGACATGCCAGATTTTTTGCTACCAACCCCCCCAGACAAACAAAAAGCCTGAGGATAAGACACAACTTCAGACACAGATAATGAAATAAGCACCAGAGGTCTTACATTTATTTAGTCTGAGGAAAGAAAACCAAGGTTAGGACTGGCCTATTTTAGTAAACTGCCTCCAAAAAGTAAAGAGATTTTAGGCTCGCTCTGGCACAACATGTGTTGTCTGAACTCAGCGGCTACATCTCTGTTATAATACACAATGGGTCAGAGCCTGATCTTAAGCCCCCAGGACAGACAACAGCTCGGCTCGCGCCAACACGCTCGAAGTCCATTACCCTCCAAAACCAGGCTGGCTTCACCCACTGCTCACCTCCGAGCTGTGCTCGGGAGCTGTCTGGGATCACCCACTGCACAGGCTGGTTTGGTTGCACCAAACCAGACAAGAGCCCACATCAACAGTTTAGCAGCAAGGGACTCCCATGAGGGTGTGCCCATGCCCCGGCACTGCTCGGTTAGCTAGCACGGTTTACAAGTCCTATCAAATGCTGAGTGCCGCCTCCTCCTAATCACACCAGCTGGTAAGAAGTTTGTATCACAGGGATATTCCTCAGACCTTTCAGCTACTTCCTAATCACAGTGGGATCATTAAAGTAATCCTCCATCTTGAAGTACAATAAACAGTGCAGCATTCTGTAACCTTTTACAGATTTAAATCTCCAGGTTTTACACCTCATCCTTCTAAAGAGACCGCGTGGTTCTCTGCTAAGGCCCGAAGGACCCCTCTGCTCCTGCCCCATTTCAAAGGTCCCACTGCCCCTTTATTTATCGCCAGGGACTTTCCATGAGACGGAGGTTCACATCAGCCCGCCCGGTTCAGATTGCCTTCTACAGTGCCAAGGATGGTCCTGACCCTCTAACTCCACAGCGGCTAAGCTCAAGAAGAAAACAAATAAACTAGATCCCATGGGCATCAGTGCTGCCACAGCCTGGCCACCTACCCAGCGGTGGAGAGGCCAAGCCACCACACTCCAGCTGCCCAGTTCGCTCATCCCTCTGCCGATTTCACCAGAGCAGACACTTCAGTCCAGCTTGGGCATCACAGCAGGTGGCTCAACACTGCAGTCATCTAATTCACACAACACAAAGGTTAGGAACATCTCAATCACCAAAAAAAGGCTTGGAAAATTAATGTGATGAGCAGCTAAGGGCAAAAGAAAAGGTCAAATGCTAACACTTTATGCATAAATGTAAGTAAGGAGTGTCAAGTGAGAACAAGACAACTGGGATGACATCAGTAGCAGGGTTTGCAATTAGAGGTTTTAGCTGTACTTCTGCACACAGGATCTGATTCTGAAATCACTGCACGTTTCTGTGACTTTTAACAGGCCAGTTGTATTTCAGTCTATGCATACGTGATGTTAATGCAAATTCCACCAGGCTGCTTGCAAGAAAAAACATTCCAAGCAGGTAAGCAGAGATAACAGAATAGATATCCATCCATAGTCAAAGAACACTATTTTCTCAGGGATGTTAATATCCTGGGGGCATTCAAAATATTTAATGTTAATATTACCAAGACTGCAATCTCATATTTTTTGAGAGAGCAATCTCCTCTTTTTTGAGAGAGAAAGATATTTTACTTTTTTTTTTACCTGGAATTAATAAGACAAGCAAATCAAAGAGAGGTAGCCAAGATTTAAAATTTTGCCTTTTCAAATTTGAACGCTCATTTGACATAGCGAGGGTTAAAATCCGATCGACATCAACTTGCACATGCCTACCAACAAGCATACACATCTGAACAGTAGTCGAATTTGATTTAGTCTTACTCACAGCTAAAATATTTTAGGATGCTAATTAAAAAGCTATTGATCTGTTGCTAAAAGTCAATACATTAAGAAAAAGAGTAGGACTATGAGCTCTTGGGGTTTTCCTATCGGGATATTTTTTGGCTCACTGCTTTCTAGTACTCACATCAATTGGGCTTTGCTCTCTGGTTGGGAACTGGTGGTTTGCATTACTGCAAGACAAATGATGCATCCTGGCTTTGGCATGGAGACATGACATGAAATTTGTCCAGGCAACAGAAAACTCCATTTGCAAATAAATTATTTTTAATGAGTCAGGCAAAATCAGTCTCCCATTTTTGTCCCTCCTCTCTGTTTTGTCTTGATGCTCCCACTCATGCTCTGCAATGGAGAAAGCGATTCCTTCTACTTCAAAAAGGTAAGAAAAGCAGGGGATGGTGTCACCCTGGCCAGGGCTCTGCTCAGCAGCAGGTGAAGGTGAAGCTGCTCCAGCATCCCTGGCTCTGGCCACCTGAGGGGCAAGGAGACACACACTTGCTGTGGATGGACACCACAGACTGTTTTCTGAGGGCCTCCACAAATCCTTGCGTGCAGTACTACAAAGGCAAGGGATGCCGGGGTTATTTGGACACATTTCAGAGTTCTGCCAAGCACTGGAAATTGGCAACAGACCAGCAAAAGTTACTTCTGTTTCTAGCCTTCCGTGCGGTTAAACTGGAAGGGTCTCCAGGGGCAGCCTAACATCCCCTTCCCATCTCCGTGCTCCCTTTTGACTGCTACTTCTGCACGACGTCTATTGCACCGAGTTTTTGCAGCTGGGCCACTGAAATAGCACATCTTACGGCGCTACAATCTCTCCCACTTTTGACACCCACATCCTCCTAGCCCACTACAAACAAGACAGGTGAGCTTAAACATCACAAGTATTTCCCAAGGCATAGCCCAAGCCCTCACTCGGCCCCTTCTTACCAGCAGACCATGCGCTGCTGCTGTTCCTTCCCACCTCACTAACGCTTTATTTCAAAGGCATTCTACAGGAGTGCTATCAACTTCCCACACAGATCCGACCACAGGAATAGGATAGCACATCGGGAGCATTTTCAGATGATCGTACCAGCAGCAGAGGGAACATCAGGGGCTGCCTTTTGCCAGAGCAAGGCTACAGCAAGGGCTGTGCTAGCAGGCTACTGCGGCGGGCAGGATCTGCCGAGCGAAGAGTCTGTGTGCTGAACTGCCTTTCCCATGAGAAAGCTGCACGACCAGAAGCCGTGCCACTTACTCCAGCCATCTGACTACAAAAGCAACTTTTGAAATCTACAGGTCATAAACTTTTAATTGGCCAGGGCAGAGTGGCTCAGTAGGAAAACCCCCCTCTTCTCCCTCCCCTCTGGGCAATGAGCTAAGCAAGACTCTTGTTTTAAAAACATTTAACTCTTTTTGCTCAAAGTAACATGGAAAATGTATCCACATTACAGGTAGTCAGGAAGATATTATTAATAAAAACACGCTGCAAGAATAGTATATTAGTGGCACTTCACAGCAACTCTCAACATTTTCAGATGTAGTGTCAAAACGATGCTTTTGTGTATCTGAACATGCTTTTTGTTAACAGAAATGGAAGAAAATCACAGCATGTTGCCAAATATTATTTGAACAGAAATAATCCCATAAGAAAGAAATTTTTTTTTTGCAGTTAACACAAAACTGTAAACTGGATCGGTGTGTGTCTTTCAGCATCAAATTGTTCAGTAATAAATATGACTAAGTCTTAAGAGACTACAGAGTAAAAGTTCCTTTAGTGTCCAGTTTTTAGCAGCTGTTGAATGTTCAGGGATGCACAAGGCACACCTCTGCAGATTCTCTACATTTATTATTGACATAAAAAAAACCCCCATTCCATTCACCACTCAAAAACGTTTATCTGCATAGTAAGATTTTTTTCTACTACTATTTACAGGAAGGGCTTTTAGTGCAAGAACCAGGAAGTGATGTATTAGCTGAAGTGCACTGAGCACATCTCGTACAGTTTCGCTAATAACTAGTCGGCATCACATCTTGGGCCGCCAGCCATTAATGAACTGTAGTATTTTCTTAACCTGCAATTTGCTTAGCTTAAAGTCTTCTGACAGGATTTCTTCTGTAAGCTGAACCAGTAAATTGCCATCAATTTTCTCTGTAACAAAAAATGATATGACATCTTCTGACAGGCCAATAAACCTCAGCGATTTAGACACTTCCTCTATCGAGAGTCCGGAAAGGTCCGTGGGAGGCTGCCAGGGAGAGCCATCCCCACAAGATCGTGGTGCTAACTGCAGGTGGAGGGGAGATGAGAAGGGGTAAGACACAGAGAACGTATCCTGCATGCCCTTTTTAATGAGATACTGATCTTCCAAGAGGTCTGGAGAACCACTTTTCGACTCCTCTTCAGCACCATCTATTTTCAGCGGCAAGGGACACATGTCTGTAACTGTTTTCTCCTCACTTGACTTCGGCGCCCGAGGAGGTAAGGCAGGACAGGAATGGCTCTGCTTTGCGTTGCTGACTCCCAGAGTCTTCTCATCAGTGCAGTCTAGAGAGTAACTTGCCGACTTTGGACAGCTAGAGATGGTGTTGGTGAGCTCTGCTGGGGTCAGGTGGGAGTACCCCACCGGGAGCTCACACCCATCAAAGTCGAAAGTCAAAGGTGCTGGACAGTTTCTCTTTGGCGTACCTGGAGTCTTCTGTCTGGGGTAACTGTAGCTCCTGCTTGGATCGAGCAGGAAATCGCTCCTATTCAGGCCTTCAGCAGTTCCTGAAAAATGGTTTGGCCAAGATAACCTTGAAGGCAGAGCTTCAGTTGAGGCGCTTCCCAAAGGCATCGTGCTCTCAGGCTCTTTGGATTCGGTTTTCATCATGTTACAAGGGTAGCAGGAAACAGGTGGGCTCTCGGTTGGGTTGGTGTTGTCACTCTCTGTGACGTTGCTTAAGGAACAAAGCAGAAAGGATGTCATTAGTACAAAAAACCGTGGCATCTGAATAAATTCATAAATCCTCTGAGAGAGTCAGAGGGTGGCTGTCACAAGGAAAGAATCTTCTTTCCTCCAGCAGAACTTTTAAGATTTGAATTAACAACACGTTTGAATAATGCACTGACAGTTCTTTTACTCCTCCCACAAGCCTGACAAGACGCTCATATACCCAAAAGCCTCATGTCTTGGTTTTCAAGCTCGTAAAAAGGTAGATTTCTCAATTCAGTTCTGTGTCATCTCCTGAATACTCAGTTTTTCCACTGTCAAATTCCTGAGGGACACCACCATGGAAAAGCAATAGCCTCACATATACTAGAAAATGTTCTAATGCTGTATTTTATATTTATATACCACAGATGTATCATAGTATGCAAATGCTTGTAAGAGGGGCAGGTCACCACTGCACCAGACCCAAGCTTGACTGGCATAAGAGATGACCAAAAGCCCTTTTGGAGCCAACATCTTCATTTGTTACAGCGCTTGCGTGTACACAGGGCACAGGATCCCTCCCCGCTGGTCACCAGCGCAAAAACTGTACCAGTGCACAGTACAATAACACAGACTAAGTTAATGCTTACTGCCAAAGGAAGAGTCTTACCTGGAAGGATAAGCAGACCTAGTCGTATGGGTTGAAGTAACAGGCTTTAAGCTTACTCCATAGTAACCTGTTTGTGTGTCCATATCCTTAAAAAGCTATGATGAGAAACACTTGCTTTTCGAAAGGCACCTGGAGTTAGCCTGACCTACTTCCAGATGGTAAACTAAGCTCAGCCTGACTGAGGGAACTGGTGGTTTATACCCAGGGGTTCCCGAGAGACAGAGATGCCAACAGAAAAGCATGTAATCTGTTATCAAAAGCCACTTTTATGCCACTTTCTAAAAGAAAGTCTGAAGGATTGGGTTGATCTTTGGAATTCTGGCCAATTAAGCCAGAACACTGGAAAAAACAATTAGCAGATTTATAAAATCCTTATTTGACAGAACAGACAGAAACAAACAGTTGAAAAAATTGTTTTAATTACTCAACTCTCTCTCTTGGAAACTAACTACTCGAGAAAAACTTGGTAGTCATTCTGTGACAGCTCAGCAAAAACTGCTCGAGGAGGGCAGCAGCTTTCAAAAAAACAGCATAGTTTTGAATGGATTGGCACAAAATTAGTTAACTGTGTGCTTACAGTGAGTCAGAGAGGAAGCCAACCTGAACTTGCCTAGCGCCAACACAAAGTGCAGATACATAAAAGGAGCTCTAATATGTATCACTGGAAAATCAGTTATAAAACTCAGCCCCGACAGATGCAGTTTCCCTCTATCTAGCCATCCCTCTGTCTCCATGCCCTCAAAACTTTCCTTTTCTCCTATTTATGTCAAGTGCCAGTTAAAACAGCTGGATGTTTACAATAGCAGAGATGCTTTTTTTTTCCCCCCTCAACAAGGATACACTGTCAACTGGTCATTTCTGGCTGCTTATAGGCCAACTTGTGTAAAGTACACAGTGCAAAGCATTTTCCACAAACCAAGACATTGGGGTGCTCAACTCGGATAAGCGCGTCAGCAAGGCGTTGTAAAAAACTAACCATACAGAGGAATTAAATTGATTAATCCCGTTTCTGTTCTCTAATTCAGTATTAGAAATGGGAACATTTAATGATGTAAAAGATTAATGGAATTCATGAAAACTGATAAAGTAACATTTTCCAAGTGCTTCCTTATTTGTCCTCCTCCAAAATTAACTCACTGGTACTCGGTGCCGAAGGATGTAAGAGAAACCTCAAATACAGCTGAAGTCAGGCATCAGGCATTTTTATAGGTAAATAAGGACAAAACATATTGGCTTTGTGTTTAAAATATTGGCTGCAACCCTTCAAGACCCAGAAGATAAGATCATTGATAAAAATGGCAAGACTTGAAAAGCAACTTCACCATCAATCTCGTTACTCCACACATCGCCAATTTTCTAACAGCCTCCTCTGCAGCTTTAGGCCAGTTCTACCAAAATGGAGATATCTGGTCTGGACCCGAGCTGGTGATGAATTTCATGTAAGTATTGTAAAGTTCAAGGCAAATAATACCACCTGTATCCCTGAGAAACTTCATTTCTCACTGTCGTCCTGGTTTCTTGGGAGGCAGATGTACTCTTAGCTACAAAGAGAGAAAGCAGCATTTGGTGGGCCCCAAATGCTGGGAGGTCTTGTGCTCAGCCTCCTGTGGAGTAGACCTTGACTGAACTACCCAACAGGCTTTTATAAAAACAAATGAGCAGACTTGATCTGGAGTGATCATTGCCAGATAGACAACATGAAGCTGCAAATGCGCAGCATGGCTTAGAAAGGCAATTCCAGCATAAGTTACGATACCAATTGCATCTAGGCTGAAATTATTTCAGTAGCATTTCAGATCAGTTTGTAATACCCAGACAGGTAGTATCTTAAAAATATATTAAAAATAAGGGCAACAAGACATTCAAGGCAAAAAGGAGATGAGATTTCAAAAGATGTATACACCTTCTATAGCCAAAGGAAGAACACTGCATTGCTAGGAAAAGTTACGTAGCCACATAATTCAAAATTTACTGTCAACTATTGACTAGCACAAGTGGATTTTCCAGTTTGCGGGTTAGGTTTGTGCTGAAGTGGGTTTGATCTGGAAGCTGTCTGGCCACCTTCCGCTACACCTCACTTTGCACTCAAGTGGTGTCTGCTGGCCTCTGCTCTCCATCACACCCACCCTGTAGGTTCCCATATAGTTGGCACAACACATTTCTGGATTAGCATGCCCCTTTTGTGTCCCCACTTATCAGAGCTGGCTGCACTGCATGCATGTAGCACTGAAATCCCACCTGAAAACCAGTTTTGAGATGTCCTGGTTTGAAGATGCAAGCCTTTCAAGAATGATACAGAACTGTATAGGATTTTCCACTTAGACAACCGGTACCACCTTACAGTGAGATCACCTATAGCAAAATGTGTGCACATTTAACACAAATTGTTATGTCCTATCTAGTAAAACGTAGTTTCTGCTGGAGCTTTGTTTCCTCTTGAATCTTTAAAAATAACTTGATAGGTTAGCCCATTTCACAAAAAGCAAGCAACTCTGACACGGTACCATGCCTTCATAAACTAGCGTCTTCAAAAAGAATACTGCTAAATTTAACTTTCTCAGAAAGTGTAAGCATGGGGCCCTCACAGCTCAAATACATACATGTTGTGCAGTCCTGAAGAGTAGTAGGACAGAGTAGGGCTAGGAGAGCGGGTCTGCTGTCGTGCAGGTTTGACTGTACGAGGAGGGATGGAAGGACTGGTAGACGACGGCTTTGAACTCCGTGGTGGGACTGGGGGAGCGTTCAGGAGCCTGCATTCCTCTTTTACCTGTACAAAAGAACACGCAAGTAAGCGGCAAGAAAATCTGGACAACAGCACTCTCAACCAGATGAAACACATCTGGTTCTGCCTTATTTCATGAAAGGAAATAATTAAAAAGAAAGGAGAAGAGAAAAATGATGCTAAGTATACATTTGCAACAATATGTGGCTGTCAAAGAAGTCCAAAAGAATGCCTTGCTCCCAGTACAGTTACTAGCAATCTTTCTTAGGGTGCTTTTCAGTCATTTGATAACCACTGATTTAGAAAGTAGCAGCAATGAAACAATGTAAAAGAACCTTCTAGTAACACACAAAATCAGACAGACTGTTCCAGATATTTTACATTTGGTAAGGAGCAATTCATTAGGCTCAAACTTCATTAGCGTTGTTTATTTAGATGTAATAAACCAAGCTTACGTAATGAAAAGATCTCAACAGACTTTGATGTTTCCTGACTTACTTCACCAGGGATACTCAGTCATCCGGCTCTAGGATAATTCCCAGCCTTCCTCCTCCAGGAACAGTACACATATCTCACATTTACCAGATGCTGGGATTCAAACCTGGAGCTTCAGCCCTTCTGTAGCTGCCAAAGCAGTGCAGGGTAAGGTTAACTACAAAGCGTACAAGTTGAAAGGTGTGGGCAGAAGAGCCTGTTCAAATAGTGCACCCAGCCAGCAGGTCTACTTTTTGCAGCCAGCCAACTTTGAAGCTTAGAAAACAAGACTGTAGCACTGCTTATCTGAAATTCAGTTTGGTCTGCCTAGGTAGGAGCAAAATATCCGGACCCACCGCATAGCAAAAATGATGGAATTAAGACCTTGATCTCATCAGTACTTATTTGGGAGAGCAACTTTATTTAGGAGGGCTAGAGGTGAGCAAGGCTACTGAGAATTATCCTGCCGGGCAGGATTTTTAAGGACTCACCACCTCGCCCTGGGCAGGAGGATACCACCTCTAGGTTCTTTCTCCTTGTCTGAAAGCCTTAGATGCACCAGAAAAGGGAAATTCTCTTTGTGTTTGAAAGTTACTGTTTATTTTAAAATTTAATAGCACTGCAGAACTAAAAGTTATCTTAGCAGTTCTGCAACACACAATTAGCAATTAAAGTGATTTAATTTATTTAAAAACAAAATAAATGTGGAACCTTTTGCAATCCACTTCAGTGCTTTCAAAATGCAACAACCCATTTAGTACTTCTGTGAAATGGAAAACTGGGGACTAGGATGTTGTAGCACATTTTTCTCCCTAATTCAAAACAAGTCAAAATTACAGGAAATGCCCGACAGCATAAAACACTGAAATAAATCTTGCTCTCAGGGTTCTTATTTGCTCTTTCAAGAAAAAAAAAAAAAAAAAAAAAAAAAGAATCAATTTTATTCATGTTCACTATTGAATTCAGGCCTAAAACTCTTCAACCATTTTAGTGCTGTGCCCCAAGGATGCCTAAGGACTTTTTTTTTTTTTTTTCCCCCAAGTCGGACTACTCAAAGTTAATGCTGCATGCTACTGAATAGATACCCATGGGGTTAGAGAGACCATTCAGGGGAGCTCTTGGAGCACAGCAGATGGTCAAGGGGTTAAGGGGACTCTTTCCTGGGAAGAGTGCTGGCATTCAAAGGTGCTGGCATAACAAACTATGCCAAGCTCCCTTGCTGACCTAGATTGCAGATCAGAATGAGGCCATAAATAATATCGGTTTGCAGTCCCAGTTGGTCCCTGTCACAAGACTGCGATTACAGCTGCCAGACCCAGCCCTCGGGAGAGCCAGCAGAGGAATAAAAAGGAAAGATTTTGCAGATTAAACTGAGAAGAGCAAGAGGAAACTTCAGAGGAGAGCTACCCTCACTCGGCCCAAGCGAACAGCAATGAAATAAATGCGGGAGAGGAGGGGAACAGCCATGGTGCGACATGACGATCACTTTGATGGCTGGGCTGCTGCTGTTAGTAGGAAATACTCTTTTGCCCAGAAGCACCAGATGCCATGAGGCTGCCAGATGCAGATAAAGTGCATTTGCACTGCACGTCCCGGGACTTTTACTTGTCAACATCTGAGCCCTCCCATGCTCCAGCACTCCTTCCCAGGACCCGGGGACCGTGACCCCTTTCTGACAGCGTGAGGTGGGTTTTAAGACCTCTGCTCCTTTCCCCTGGTGCCAGCCCAAGCTGCTCCAGCACCCCCTGGGTCCTGGGGTGTCTCTCCTGAATCTGGGCATCGCAGGTGCCCGTCGCAGCAACTGCTTCTGAGACCACCTGGATAAATCCCACCCCATTGCTGGTGTCCAATGCTCCTTGCTGATTGGGAGCCTGAACTTCCAGCACACTCCACTGGGGACGTGCTTTAAATCAACCAGGAAAACAGCCTCTGATTTTAGGCAAATTAGTGTTTGGGGACTGAAGTAATTTCTAATTTACAGGCCTTAAGCCAGAGGTCATTTGCCTCCACTGCCCCTGCCGCCCGCCCCCCCACTTCTGCCTTCATGCTCCTTCGATTTTCTGAAAGGTATTTAGAAAATATACATGATATATCATAATGCTTATCCTGCTGGAGAGAAGAAAACCAGAACAGCTTCTGAAATACCCAAATGTCCTTCTCTCCCTCCTGCAAACAGCTCCTGTACACATATTTTAAATTTAGTGCATGCAAAAATACAATTGCCAGCCAACGTTTACAGAGAAACGCTATGGAATATCATTCTAGAGGGAGTGATGACTAAACCGCATGTTCATCAGCGGCTCCTGAGATCTACTTATTCTATAAATACTCTACATGGAAACCATGCAAATATCTCCTCGGCCCCAGCCCACTGATGAATTCAGTAGGTCATTGATACTCATTCCAAAGCTGTTCCAGGAAGCCACAAAAAGAGAGTATAAATTATTATCATCTACGGAGATGTAGGTTTTTTATTTTGTTTTATTTTTTTAAAGGGTTGCACCCCCTGCCCACCTCTAAATGCAGGCTAATATCTTTAGCAGAAATTATTTCTCCTACAAGGCTAGAAAGCAATACCGAAATTGCTGACAGCACTCACACATTACCTCAGCAATGTAAGACACTTGTGCCAAAAAGCGCACGCTTTGCAAAATGACCTTAAAAGGCAACATTAGGTACCTACCCCAAATGCCACCCTGCTGCCCCCAGCACAGAGTTCGCCGTGCCACGAGGCCGCCCCAAAGCGATGCTGTGCAGGTGCCCGGCAGCATCCCATGACCCGGGGGGCTGGCAGCCCCCCTGCCAGGAGGGCTGCCCTCACCCCCCCGTGGGAGCAGCCTTCCCCCCCCCCCCCGCCCCTCGCCCTCCCGCCTGCTCCCCCGGCCCTGGCTCCAGCGCTCCCTTTGACCCTGCGCTGAAACAGTTCAGCTCACAGAAATCAGCAGGAAACTAATCATTTTCCAGATCCAGACCTGGCTGCCTGCCCAGGCGCAGGAGTGCCAGAGCCAGCACAAAAGAGGAGCCAGGACCATGTGGCCGGGAAAGGAGGAGGAGGAGGGTGGGACCAGCCCCACGCCAGTTTACATCAGCGTGGGCTGCCAGGGAACCTCATCCTGATACGGTGCTGCTGGGCACTTGTCCGGAAGAGTCCGGACAAAGCACCCGTGCATACCTGACCTCGGAGGCAAGGAAGTGCTCTTGGGTTCCTGCACTTAGACATTACACGTAAACACCCCTTTGCTAGGACGACGTAATGTGTTGACTTTTCTCTCCTTGCTGGAGCTGCTGCGGCTGTTTTTGGGGGAAGTTTTGGCAGCACGGTCAATGATTTCATGCCTACACTGGCGTTCTCCTCCCCCTCTCCTCGCTGCGCCTCCCCAGCAGCTGCATAGCCTGGCCAGGGGGATCCCCACAGCAATTCACTTCAGGCTAACCCAGCACAAATAAATATAACTTAGATTTCAACCAGATTGTGTCCTGGCTCATGATGGAAAGGCTACGGCTAACACTGCCGGACTGTTAGATGGCAACAGGGAAGGGATGGGAGCACCATGGTTTGGTCTCAGATTAGTCTCATCTTACTGTACAGCCATGCTCTTGAAAATACCACTGGACTTGCAAATGGAACAATAATTTCTTTATTTAAATTCCAGCAAAAGCCCTGCAAAACTAGTTTGTTAAATTATAATATCTGTCAAGATTCATGTGACATAAGTATATATCATTTAAATTTTGCTATAGATTCCTAGACAGTCTTTCCTTGGGGAAGTTTTTTTTTTTTCTTTTTAAATAAATGTTTAGGACTATGTCAAGAGACCATGTAATGGTTGGATTTTACACCCAGTCCACATAAGCTCCTGCTGATAAAACATATTTTTATTTTTTGCCTCTGAAGTCTCCGCAACATTTCAGGTTTGGAGAAGTGATTTCTCCCATGAGTTTTCATTAGAAACACTAGGACAGGAAACATGCTCTGTTTAAAACTGTGTCCTCTAGAAGGCTCATTTATCAACTCCGCAGAGTTCCTATTTAAACATGTTCTCTTTCTATAAGCAGTACAGAGCGATTAGTTCAGGTCTAGTTTAATAAAGTTTCCTTGAGGTCAACAACACTTAACAGTCTTCAAAATCTGCCACAGACTTGTAACAGAACAGACAATCTCTCATGAACAAACATTTCAAATCCATAAAAATTCCAGCCGCCCTCATTATCAGGGCCTGTTAATGGAAGACGCGCACACTAAGGTGATCCGAGGCAGTTCCAAAGTGGGGTCATGCCCCACACACTTTGGCCACAGAAAATATGAGAAAATATGGAGGCCACGTGGAGGTGATGTGGAAATCCAGGGAAGGAAGTGACCTAGATATTCTTAGACCTTGTTTGTGGGAGCAATAAAACCCCAATAAATATCACATGAAAGTATCAGGATTAAGCTACTAGGATCAGTTATACTGAATATACTCTGGTGATTTTTAGGACATCACTTACACTTGGGTAGGAAACTAGCTGAAGTTGCGCATCTCACAAAGTCTCACGGTTTCCTTGCCCTCCATGTGACTCCCCCACCAACTCTTCTCTAAAAAAAATCCCCAAGCAAACTCCTTACCAGCTGAAAAAAAAAGAAACCAACATAAATAACTCAGACTTACTGCTTCTGATTTGGGAGGCACTGGAGGTGGAGGTAGGGAAACATCTGAAGACTTTGTGGTTGCTCCAACAGTCGCAGGCACAGGAAGAGATGTGGTACCACACTTTGATCGGAAAGACCCTCTGTAGTTGTCACTTAGAGAGCGAGAGAGAGGCTGGTCGCCGGCCTTTCCAGACCCTTGGTCCAACCACAGCTCTTCGTAAGGAAGTTCTGGTTTTGTAGGCAGGAACATCGATTCTTCGCTAACTTCAGGAAAAAGGTAATCGCTGCTACTGTCACCAGACTCCTGGTACTGAAGAGCATCGTGAGAGAACAGGGCCCACTCGTTACACAAGTCCCTGCAGCCGTGGAGGTTCACCTCACTGTTCCCGTGCAAGTTGTTGCCATAGACACACACCGAAAGCCGGTGGAAGGACTGGGTCAGCTCGTCCCGCGCGTAGCTGAGGGAGTTGGGCACGTGGCTGTGCCCCGTGCACCGGCTCTTCTTCGGGCTCTTGCAGTCCTCATTCCAGTCGGCTTTCACATCTCGCACGGCACGGGAATACTCGTCGATGTCAAACTGCTCCTGGCATATATTAAACCAATGCTGAATGAGGGAATCGTGCCACAGCTCCCCCTTCACCAGACTGTCAGGTAGAGTAAATTTTGGAAGCGTCAAGTGCAAGGGAAAATGCATGGGAATAATTTTGTTGCCACGAAGCACGCAACAAACCACCACAGTCTTGGTTTGAATGTTGACGAACTTGTACCTGTGCCCTTCACGGATAAAATGCAGGTCATAAGGGTTTCGTGGCGTAGGACTCGGCACCGTCACGTTAACGGGCAGCCTGGTTTTTTCTACTATATTGCGAATTGTGTGCTCACCTTCTTGCATCTGCACCTCCAGCGGGCTGCGGGTGCTAAACTTGCCCTTACACTGGAAAGGGAGACTGATACTTTCATTGGTCCTGTGGTTCATGCAGATGAGGCAGGGCATTTTGCCTCTGCCTAGCTTACTGATTGAATTAAGTTTCCCGATTTTTTTGAAGATAGTGTTGAGTCGTGACTTCTCCTTAGAAGATTTTGCATAAAGGATTTCTGCTTGCCCCATTAAAGTGAGCTCATCCCCAGTACTAAGGGTAATGTTGTAAACCTCAGTGTCTTCATTGCATTCACCTGAAGCCACCTGCAAAACAATAATAAAAAATTTGTTTTTCCCTCACTGAATACTTCATATAAAAATCTATTGAGACTGAACTTACAAGACCATATATTGGTAGTAACTTTATTTGCACAGTCGAGTAGTCAAGTGCAAAGTGTTATCCTGAAGCTCGCCAAGTAATCTTTTTTAATTGTTCTGCACATTCCTGTATCTTGCTTGAGGGGAAATAGCTACCTGAAACTGCCAAAGAAGGCATTACAACAAACATAACCCGTTTTTAAAGAAAGGACAAATCCACATATCCCAGCAGTTCGAACAGTCACTTGTGTCACAGAGCTATGACAGAGCATGTCTGAATTCCTTTGGCTATCTTCTTCCCTGCCCCCTTGTATTTTCTGTTTGCTAGACCTTACTTGCCAGGCTCTTGAGGGACTCCAACTTTTTCTTTCACCATCTTCAGCTCCCTGAGGAGCAGAGAAGGTGATCTCATCACTGTGGATGAAGCATATCCCTTTGATATAATCTCTTCCAGGCTAGGAGGAATGACAGATGACATCTATTCCCCAAAGGAGAACAAGAATATCAGTCTATTCTATGTGCCTAACTCCCCCTCTGCTTTGCTCTCCTAGTCATAGACTTCCTTCCTCATTTTTTTGATCATAATTGCAATTTAAGAGATTAAACAACATATGCACAGCCATGTGTGTGCTTTTCTAGTATGGAAATTGTACTGGAAAGAAAAAAAAAAAAAAAAACAACAAGCAAAACAGATGTCCAAGGCTCATTTGTTCCTCAAGTTATTTCCTTAAGACTGGAATAACTCTTTATAGACAACATTGTTCTGCTTCATATTTGAGTGGTTTAATGTGAAAAAGCCCTTTTAAGGGACCTAACAGAACCCACCCAGCTTTTCCTCAGTAGCAGCACATACCTCCCGATGAAAGAAGGTGCATCAGATAAACACTACTGTCTCATCATAGACCATTTTATCTGGAAATACTGAACATACTTAAAAAATTGCAAAAGAAAACATATGTTAAAATTGTGTATCCCTTCCTCACCTCCGTAACGTGTGAAGACTTCATGGAGCTCTGTGAAGTTCAAATTCCAGGCTTCAAATTTGGGTATCACCACAGAACAGCCATTCAAGGCTGCAATTCCAATCAGTTAATAACTGAGAAGTGCTGTGAATAACGCTTCCTCTTGTAAGACATGATCTGCAATTCACCTGTATTTGTAAAGCTGTGATTCTCTTCTGCAAGCCTCTCAGAGCAAATGCACAGGCAGCTCAGCCGAGGTGTGCAGCCTTAGCACTTCAGTCTCCGGGCTTCCGGAGAGGAAGTCGTTCAAACCCTGAATTATCTAAACAAACAGTAATTGCTCTAATCCAGGAAACTACCAGGATTTATGGTACGTAATACTCATTCACAGTTCACACCACTGGCCAAGACAATATTATGAAACGCCAGGACACGAAAGGAAAGCATTCGTTTTCTTTTTTTTTGTTGGTTTGTTTGTTTGTTGTTTTTTTTTTCGTTTTTCTTCCTGTTAACACTGGTGTGATGCTCACTGCTGGTTTCTCCTCAAAACCAGCACAGAGCACTGCTTTCGAGCTGTGCCCATGCAGCCCTGCCCTGGGTGGAGCTGAGAAGGGCTGAGGACACACAGGACTCTGTGCACGTACTGTTCAATCCCCTCCTCCTCTTTCCGAGAGGGCACGTTCTGTAAGAGTATTGGTTTCTAGCACTGAGAAGTCCGCACAAATGGCTTCTTTGGACAACGCGAGCTATGCTGTCAGATATTTTAACTTGAGATGGTATGGTTACAGCTTTTTCTCGCTTCCTGCAGGACACCAGCCGGAGCGAGGGAGGTGTCACAACCTACGGCTGCGGGAGCTGCTGCTTGGCCAACTCGCAGTTCCCTGGTGATTCACAAACAAACAAGCCACTGTAGAAGGAAACGGTGGGTCAGATGTGAAACCACAGAGGTAACTAACTGGCCGAGCTTCACAATGAAGGTCTCACAAAGCAGCTGCTTATTAATGGCATCCATTTCAACCAGCCAAACAGCAAATGGATTTTTAGATTCGACAGGCATGTTTAAAGACAAAATGATTCTCAACTCAAAAATTTGGAAAATACTCTTTTTTTTTTTTTTTTTTTAATATAGTCACAGGATAATAGTAGGCGAAATAAGGCTGAATTTTACTGTGCTAGAACAAAAGAAAAATCACGCCACTGTTCTAGTTTGGCACTCTGAGAAAAATACTGTTCTGTACTCTTACTTCTGAAGAAAAATATAAGGTATCAGCTGCTGTCCAAAACTGTAATAAAAAAAATCAAAAAGTGAAATTGAAAGTCTAAGACTGCACAACTTTATCCCTATCTATTAAGCCCTACTATGGTGAAATTAAAGCTGACGGTACACCTCAACAGGCTATGTATATTTTCAAATTTAAATTCTGAAAGTCAAGAAAGGTAACTCCTCTCTTCTTGTGTTAGGTTAATTAATTCACTGCCACACGGTAGTTAACATCTATAAAGCGTAAGTGGTAGGTAAATATGTGTTCCAGGACATTAGCAACAAATACAGCTCTCATTCATACCATACATAGCAATCACTCTAATCTAGAAACTCATGCACAGGTATCTCTAAGTTTTTGTTTCTCAGATTATATAGCTAAATGACCTTTACTGTGTCTCCGTAGCAATGACCTACAAAAATCAAACTTGCTCTCTTGCTCATTCAAACATTTCACTTTATCAATGGCCACAAAACTTAACAAAAACATCACAAATAGGGCCATGGACTTTAGCACAGGATATCAGGTGAGGTGTGTAGAATCTTCCAGGTTGGGAAGGACTCCCAGAGTCATTTAGTCCAGTTAAATTTTTAGTTTCTCCAAAGATGGAGAATCCACATTTTCTCTAGGCAACCTCCTTCTGTGTTCAACCACACTCATCAAAAAAATACTTTTTTCTTACATTAGAGCAGAATTCCCATGTTCTAACTCGTGCCTGTTGACTCTTGTCCTCCCAGTGGGCACCTCAGATGAATCTGTCAGTCTTCTTTATACCCTCCCACTATGTTCCCTCCACCCTCTCAAGGCTGGTCAAACCCAGTTCTCCCTGCCTCTCCCTGTATGTAGTTTGCTATAGCCTCCTGACTGTCCTGGCATACCAGACTTGCTCCCACATGTCAACGTCTTCCTTGTATTAGTGTGCAACTGGAAAAAAGCAGTTTCCAGCATCCCAAGTGCCAGATGGTGGGGAACAATCACCAACCTCAACCGACCAGCTACACTCTTGTTAATACAGCCCAATATGCTGTCGGCCACCTTTGCCACACCATCACTACTTTCTACCAGGTACCCCTCAGACTTTTTCCACAGAGCCACTTTCTAGCCCATCAGATTGTTGCAGGGCTGACGGCATCCCAGGTGGTGGGGCTTTGCACTGCCCTTCAGCGAACTCCACAGGGCTCCTGTCAGCCCGGGAACCGGTCAAGCACGGCAGCTCCTCAAAGCAGACGACACTTAAAGACAACGTGATCTGGGAGAAAGTGCACATCGTCAATTATTCCTAAAAGGCAGAATGAGTAACACCACCCCACACTCGGCTCCCTCTACCCTCTAAGCTTCCAGCACTGACCCAACAGGATCTGCACCTGCAAGCTCCTTCAGACCCCCCGTGAAAGCATGCCCCGTGCACCCTCCAATTCCCGTTACGAAATCACTGGCGGGGTGCAACAGAGCCCTCCGCTATTTCAGACGCTTGGACCTGCCAGTGGCATGTCCCAGCCGGCGCACGGGACGCGGCACGTCACTGGCACACGATGGAGAGAAGACAGCGGCACACTACCGCAGAGCGGCAGAGTTAAGGCAGTCTGACTGGTGCAGACATAACGATACATTTTTATGGCAAACTGTTAGAATCGCCTCATAATTCTGAAAAGCAGGTAATGCTACAGAAGGCAGAAAGCACCTGAGAAGCCTTCACTCAGCTGCATAACGGCCCCGGGAGGGCCGACTCCGGTCCCAGTGTGGCTCCACTCTGCCCCACACTTTCGTCTCACTTCCCTCCTCCCGCTTCGCCCACACTCGAGCAATGCTCTTGCCTCCTTTGGCACTTTTGCCAGTTCCAGTTTTGAACCTTCAGGTGTGAAGACCCTGCACCTGGTAGGAAGCTGAGACCAGCTGAAGGACAGAGGAAAGGAAGGTGGGACAATACGTTTTCCTCAAACATCTCCATATTGGGACTGGGCCCTCTGTTCTAATTTTCTGTGTGTGCCCCCTCCTCACATCTTCTATTTAAACCAGGAATTCTTCATAATTACAGTGCAAAATTGTGCAGCAGTAACCATCGTGCCTCCAGTTGCTGTCACTATCTGACAAACACAATGTCTTTTCCAGTTATTAAACTTCTAGCCTTGGGAGCATTCTGAAATACCTCCTTCCCCAAACATGTTTATCTTCACTGTTGCTCTCTCAGTTTTACACATTATAATAACAACGCTCTATGGATTATAACAATGACCCCTGCAGTTTTACTTCCCTCTCGCCCCTCTTTTGCCCTTCCCAACCAGCTTTCAATTTCTATTAATAGGTGAGAGAATAATCAGTGCTCCCAGCTCTCTGGAAGAGGCAGTGCTTGTCACACTATTCCAAAGCCATCCAGAAATCACTAGTAGATATTCAAATTGAACAACTCCTAACGCAGAGGACCCACAGAACCAGAACGTACTCCATGTGGTGCTTACCCTCTATCTCCTTCTGCCTGATGTTGATCCATACTAACCATTCCCTACTGATGGCAGGATGCTGACAAGAAAGCATACTGGCTTACAGACATCTTATCAAGCACATGGCAAAACAGCAATAGGTAAAGTCACTATAATGTTTTAAATTTTAATACTTCTACAATTCATTATCAATTTAGAGGCCAACTACATCTACTGCAGAAGACAGGCATCAGGGAAGGGATGAATGATTATTTAGGAAACATGTTCTTTTGGGAAATCTCAAGAATATTGTTTCTTTTGTTTAAGGAAAGGTTAACTCAGAAGAATAGGTTTTGATAACACCTGAGTCAATATCCTGTCTGGGACTCCAACTGTTGTAATTTCTTACAGTTTGAAGTAGAAGTCTTTAGTCACTTGGACACATATGAACTCCCCCTAAAAATGATTTGTGGCTTCACATCACTTGTTATACCTGCTAGATCTTATTGAAGTAATGCATGCATTGCATTCACAGTAAAAATTCACAGTTAGAATTTCTTCTGGTAGAGTTCTTTTTAACCGTGATGCCTCTGATTCCTAGTTATTGCATTCAGCTTTTACTATTAAAGCCAAGGGACCAATATGAGCACTTCTTAAGAATTTTTTTTTTTTTACAGGTCCCCAAAAATGAATAAAGATTATTTTAATATAAAACAAACAGTCTTCAGAAGAGCTATTAGCAGAAAAGATAAGAAACTTTTTCAAAGAAGTCAGCTAAATTCAGAAAGACAGCATACCATTTTTATTTTATAAATATCTGTCTCTCAAGACAGAAAATCAGCAAGTACAACTCTTCATGTTGGTATATGCGTGTTTCCCTCTCAGCTAAGAGGGACTTTGCCCTGATTGCTACATTAAAAACTGGCTCTAGTGTTGTTTAAGGATGTCTCAAATAAATCAGTGTTCAAAAAATGACCCTAAATGTGACAGGCTATACCACAGAGCTCTAACATGAAGCATCTCATCACATGGGATGTCAGGAAGACCAGCACATGAAGCCACTGCGAGGCAATGGCACTCACTCATAGTGCCAGCATCAAGCCACAAGGCAACAAGGGGACTGAAGCACTAATTCTCTCAAGGTGAAGTACTATGAATTGCCTGTAAATATGGAGCCAAAACCTGCACACAGACCGATTTCAAGAAAGTTGCTATTGCAGCACTTAAAAATATTAGCATTCTAAATATGTGCTTTTTGGAAACTCAGGGTGAGTTTAACAGAGCCAACATAATTGCAACCAAATCAGGAGATTCCGTGTGCTGCATTAACATTTGTCAAAACAACAAAAAAAAAAAAAAGCAAGCACAGTTTTCAACATAGATTTGTTTCTGAAAAAACGCACACTGTATGGGCCAATACAGTTAAACCACTCTGAAAAGAGAATTACATTAAAAAGATAATCAAATCAGGTATCAAAAGTTCACATCAGCCGAACAACATCTTTGATAGGAAAGAAAAGAATCATCACAGGGCTAGTTACCTAACTTATCTCTCCATCCCAGAAAGGCTCTGCAAACAACTTCACAACCTCTCATGGGAGACAGAGCGGTATCATCAGGACAAAAATGATATTCTGGAAGATCTGCAGTGTCCTACAACACTAATTGGGCTGTTTATGACAGTGCAGGAATTCATGGCTTGTCTAGTGTTCAATCTATCAGACAATGCTGTTGTTTTTGAGGAGAACTTTTTGTGAATTGCCCTTGGTATGATGTGGGGTTTTTGCTCCTGGTTTTTAGGTCTTAATGCAAATAGCTTCCTGGGTATTTGTACGGACTGTCAATTGTATGGGACCAGAGCATCTGACTGCAGAAACTTACGGCTGTTTATTCAGCAACAGATAGGGCCCTAGGGTAGCTCAACTTTCTTAGTAATTTTCTTGTTGGCATAAAGAATGAAAAAATCCTCATCTTTGTAGTGTAATGCTGTTACCTAAACAAAACTCTCTGCAATTATTCACTAAATATTAATACAAAAAAGGCTATCTGGTCAGTGAAGACATAATACCTCTGATTTTAAATTAGGAACAGATGAAATACCTACTGACTGAGCAAAATTAACTTATCCCCCGAATACTCTAAATTGCTGTGCCTGTAGGTGGTGCTGACCACTGGGTACCTCAGGCAACCAACTGGGTATATAAGCACAGTAGTGATACATATTTACATCCATAGATATTAACAGAGGTAGCTTTAGTCATTACAAAAGTTTGATTTAATCTAAAATTTTTGTTTGCTATTCTGTGAAGTGATTCCATCTTCCACTCCTGGCTCTGCTTGATGGCATGTGTTACAGCCCTCCTTCAAACATCCAGTAGGTCCCAAAGCCCCTGCCTCAGCACACTGCCCAGAACGCCTGCCTAGCTGCAAAACCACGAGGAGGGGAGGGGAAAGGAGAAGGGAAGGGGAGGGGAGGGGAGAGAGAGGGAGGGAGACCCATCTCCCCTGCCTTCCCTAGGATAAGGTGGCTTATTTTTCCATTTAACAACTAATACACAAAGTAAAAGTACAGTAACACCCTTGGAGCAGATCCTCCGGCCCATCGCAGCAAGCAGGCTGCTCGCTGACTGTCAGCGGTAGCTGTAAAATCCTGCCAGAGCAGCAAGGGATTTACACGGCGGAGTCAGGCTCGCACCAGGTCGAACCGTAACCATGGCATACTGGCACATGCAGGCAGGCCTCGATGAGCACAGACAAAACCAGGCAGTAACTGGCTGGTGGCACCCTGTAACTCTACAGGCTTTTTCTTCAAAAATTATCCGTTAAAAACTTGAGTGTTTGGAACAAGAAAGCGTTCCCAGACTTCAGAGTTCCTCTTCATCTTAAATGGTTCATCAGATATTTTAGATTTTTTTTTTTTTTTTTTTTTTCTATCAGATTAGCTACCTCTTGATACTCTCTTCTGAATTTAAACGGGTACACTGCATTGGACAGAAGTCAACTGTACTTAGTATTCCTCCCTTTGCTCTAATCAGCTTGACAGGATCTACCCTATATTAAAATTTTAGCATTCATAAATCTCTTGCATGTAAAGGGCTATTAAACACTTTAATAAATCCTGTTAAGTTCATTTATTTTTTGGAAGATGATAACCTTGGAATAGACTTCTATGAAAGTGGAAAAACTGCCAAGAGACATACTGCCAAGATAACTGTGTAACTAGGTTAAACCTGGATTATTATTACTATTATTTACATTAAGGAGTATCACTATAATACCTTTTAAAAAATGGATTTAACAGTAAGCTATGCTTATTTCTCAGTTTGCTAAATATGACAAAGAGTTTTAAGAACACTCGTATTAAATTCAAGACACAACATTTTACATTTAAAGAAACCCGCAGACAAATACTTTCTCCTTTTAAAACGAAAGCTGCACATTTTACTGCGCCACTCTTGATTTGGTTATTGATCAACTGAGAAATAATGGCACAGCACTGGATAAAAGGCTAGCAGTCCCAAGGTAAGACTGATTTTCCTGGGTAGAAATGAAATTTTCTTGTTGCCTTGATTTGCCCAACTACATCCTAAACACACAAAAGTGTTCCAACTTTCTCATGTAGCCTTCATTCATGTTTTATAGGTTCAGGTTAATGGACAGCATGAATGAAAACAACCTACTGTCTTGAAAGGCACGAGTCTGTGTTGCTAAACGAATTAACTGATGAGCTCTCTCACTTACAGCAGTCTCCAGCTACCTTGTTTCACACCTATAACAACTGTGGACTAGCTGGTGTTCCCCAACTTTACAGTGCAAGAAAGAGAAAAAGCCATTAAAAGGTTGTTATAAAACCCCCACATCGCTACACATGGGACGAGGCAACTCTGTACTGGTTCCGCACCAGAAGTATCAACCGGTTTCCCCTGTAGGGTACCTCGGGTGGATCTGTGCCACTGCATCCCAGCTCAAGGATGCTCTTCTGCCAGTCTTAGGTGCCATGTCAATGGAGGCAAACCAGACAAGCCCGAAGACCACTCTGCTCTGTTGGCAGAGCTGACCTACTTTGTGTAGTGTCACACACGTAGGTAGGACAAGGAAGAACAAGTTCTGTCTTCATTGTTTCATGCCACTGCACTGCAGTGTGTCTGGGGACAGCAAGCCCTCTTACACTCATGGGATTGCTGACCCTTCCCCATAAGCCCAGGAGGCATGCAGATGCAAACAAGCACACATGCACACAGAGAACAAGTGTGTCTTTTTTTTGTTTTGTTTTGGTTCTTTTTGTTTTATTCACAATGCTATTTAGCTGCAGTAATTTGGAGACAAGCAATCCCATCATTTCACCCTGGGTGCTCTCTGAGAATAAGGCTTCTGGACAGGGATTTGAGCAGCTGCTGTTCAGCAGAGAATAAAATTCAGACTGCTGGAGGGGAAGGAGTAAGGGGGCAACAAACAACATTTGTTTAAAATCTGGCAGGAGCGTCCTAATTAAATGAATTTTTGGATGGATCATCGGGACTGCTCCCCAAAGTGCCACAGGACAGGAGAGCCCTTAGAGGACATGTTGATTAAAGACTGCAAAGATGATCCTGAAGAGCACCATCACCGAATGCAGAACACTATAGGCTCATTTGTCTCAAAAATCACACTTCCCACACAGCACTGTTGCTCACTTGCCATGTATATAAAGGCTGTAACAGTTAATCATTTAGACAGGGATAAATATTTATTCAGGGACTACCTTAACGTTGAATGTTATTTCCTCCATGACGTAAACTCGTTCAGGAAATGCTTTAGCCACCTCCTCCACACTGTTAAAATACTGCACTGGCTCCTTAATATCTCGGTCTTGTTCCAGCAGCTTAAACTGCCCTGAAAACAGATGATAAACAGAAGAGTTGTAAGATATTTATATTGGACAACTGTCACTGTGGCAACTGCTGGCTCAACTTCTTCACCATTTTTCTCGGTCAATTTTTCTGGTTATTAGCAGCCAAACAAGATGACCAAAGGTTGCAGAAGGTCTCCTGAACCTGCTGAGACAGACACCCAGTTTCACCAGGTCAGAATGAAAAGAATGTGTGGGAGCCAAAGTTAAATTAAAAAAGATCCTTTTATCATATGCTCTCTAGAAATAGTAAATAACTATGGAGGCAGTTGTGTTTGTATACTTAATTTGATGTAACAGTATCTGTACAGATAGCATTTTTTGGTCCCTAGTGTAAAAAGCTTTACAGAAGGAAAACACACCCATTACTATAAAACCCCAAGACAGTAAACACAGGGGTTGTGTTTTTGTTTTTATCATCATCAAACAGCTATTAAAAAATGCTAGGCTAAAATCCTTTTTTCCCCTAGGCTTCCCTAAGTGTGTAATATCACCCAACTTTCCTTAATCATAAACTAAACCCTTTAAGAACTTTAGCTAACATAAGAAACGAAACCATGCACATTTAAAACCCTTTTGAAGATGGTTGCCTTCAGAAGAGCATTAGAAAGAAGTGTTTCTTGCTGACTTTACCTCCCTCCAGCATGAAAACCTTGGCAATTTCTAAATCTTGTAAGAGGCAAGAACTAACACAGAGGCAGCCGCCCCGGGCAGACCTGCTGAGGACAGCCAGGCACATCAATCACCTCTATACACTACAAACACAAAGTTTAAAAGCTTTCTTTAATAAATTCAGCGATAACAAAAGCTTAGAGGGACACATTTGCTACTTCCATGACTTAAAATCAGTGGAGTGATCTTCCTAAATTTAGAAACATTAACTACTACTAAGTTAAAGGCTGGTCTCAGCAAGAGAATAGCACAAGACTTGACATCAGAAACAACTTCAGAAAACAAGAAAAAAAGCTGAGTAAAATCAATGGTTAGTGCATCTCCTGCAAATCATATTTTAAAATTAGTAATGCATGCAGCCACTGGATTACTGTCCCCAAACAGCGTTCAACTTCATTAAAATACATCCAGTACATCAGGATGTCAGCCACCTACAGAAATATTTTCTCCCTCCTTCAGCATTTTTGTGCACAACACCCTGCTGCCCCTATACATCCCCATCAGGCTTGAGACTTTTGTGACAGGTTCGGAGAATTCACCCACACTAAACTATTTCAGGCCACCTAGCAGCAGAGGAGGAAACGAACACAAGCTCAGCAGGTCCTGACACCCCACGAGAAAGACCTGTCCCACCACCCTGCCAGGTGTGTGCACACACATGTCCACACACACGCACACCGAGAGGCAAGAGAACAAGAGGCTCAGCTCCTCCATCCAACCCCAGCACCCCGCTGACAGAGGCACACTCTTTTCATCAGTGTGCTTGAGTACCGTGGTTGTAAGCCTAAATATCGAGACTGAAGACTTCCTTTTATTCCCTTCCATATGTTTTGTCTTTCTCAAGTGACCGCTGTAACTCTGAAGTATTATCAGCAGGGTAACTAAAGATGCTGGTACTTCCCACTGCAAGGCTGTATTGTTCAAATGTTTAATGGCCTTCTCCACACTTCAAAAATCAGTTGCTTTGGAGTTTTACTAACGTTGTGCCTGCTTCAGGACACACTACTATTTGAAGTTGAGCCAAGACAATTCATGTACTTCGAAGACCAACCCTGGGGTAGAAGCAGCAGGACCTCTGGTCTGACCTGCTGAAGCCATTCTTGTTGTCTATCACAGCAATATTATATTACAATATTGCATTACATATTACATTAAGCATATTACAGTTGGCTACAGGAATGGCTTCTCCCAGTCAGACAAAAGATCTGCCTCATGCAGCATTCTGCCTTACACAGAAGTAAACGACAGCCGTGTAAGGAGGACTTTAAGCACAATTAGCAATACCACCCAGAGCCTCCTCCACATGTCTAGGAGGAGCTTGTGGCTCAAGGATGCCCAGGATCAGGGAAGAGGTATCTTTGGGCTTAGTAGCTCCAGACGTTTTCTTCACTGTAAATTTGTTTAATTGCTTGCTGAAGCTATCTAAAACTTTCTGCGTACACACACCTTCCATCTTTAAAAATTATGGCAACCTCTTCTACCACAGACTTTACAGTACCACCAGGATTAAGAGTAGAAATTTTAGGAGTGACAAAGCTACACCTGGCAGACACTATGGGAAGCAACAGGAAACCTGAGAGTGGACAAGCATTTGGAAAAATGCTTCATATACTCAGTAGAAACACGCCAGCATCCTAAAGCTGAATTCCTCAGCATGCCTGACCTGAGCCCCTTTTGGTGCAAAGCAATAGAGGGCCCAGGCAGCCAGCACCTCTGGGCTCAGGGAATCTGGACAATTAGCAGGGAGGTGCTCAGTTAACTGGTGCTGGAAAGCACGCTGTGACTGATGCCTGAGGTGCAAACGGAGATGAAGAGAACACTGTGCTTTTTAATTCCCATTTTGCCATACAGACCATGTAAGTCCTGGTTTCAGGGTTTCCCTGTCAGCCACAGCCTAACCAAGAGGACGATGTATTCTCCAGCATCACAGGTCCTTCCCCCTGTGGGCATGCTGCTTTCTTGCAGAGGAAATTCAGGAGTATTTTGGGGGCCTGGGGGGGGGATGAGTGAAGTCAGACCTCCTTCTCTGTGGAGTCAGGACATGCCGGGACATCATGCAGCAGCAGGGACTATGAGTTGCACCAGAGAGCACTTGACAGCACAGGAAAAACTACTATTTTAGAACATAGAGCCTATGATCATATTTCACAGATAGTCACTAAGGGCAAGATGTTCTTAAATTTTACAGAAGTTGTCACACAGTGTTCGTTCACCATGGCCTGACCTGAGGCTGTTGCTCTCTCCTGCTTCTCAGTTGCTGTCCTCTTCAACTACCGACACAGCCACCTGGATGCAACCCTAATTGATTGCCCAGTTTGGGATCCAGGGGTCTCATTTGCAGGATTCCCAGCTGTGATTACTATTTAAAGCAAGTTGTGATTGCAATTTATAATGGCATTTCATACTTTAAGTGCTCTGATGAAAAAAAAAAAAAAGCCAAAACCACAGCAAGTTTGAGTCGCTTCAGATAGATCTAAATCCAGTGGGGTTACTTCTGATGTAACACTCCTCCCTTATGTACAGAACAGAGTTGAATACAATATTGCATGGAAGCTACCTAGTTTTTTGAACTGTGAGATACAGCAGTGATAAAATTTTGCTAGCTGAGAAAGAAAGTGACAACTCTCACTCCAGAGTGGTAATTGAGTTGGGCATAGTAACAAAGCATGAATTCACATGAACAAGGAAGGAAAACAACATACTGAATAATACATTATAAGAACAATACTCATCCAGCACCTCGAATGAGACAGTGGTCTTTAATTCTAGGTTCTCTAGTTACTTTGCACATAATACTATTTTACTATGACTGTCATGTATTTAACAACAGATAGTGTGGTGGCAAGAAAAGGCTGGTTACCGATTGCAGTCCCACCTTCTACAAAAAAGTCCCAAATTCCTCAGCACAGAACAAATGCTTTAGGCTGTGTGCAATAGGGGGCAGGGTCTTGTATCTACTGTAGATTTACTCATATTCTTGTAAAAAAATAATCAACTGGCGCTTTGCTTCGGTACAAAGAGATGCTCAGAACCGTTTATGTCGCTATCTGTGCCATCCTCCCCTTCCTTCAGCTGAGCCGCGCAAACACAAAGCCGTCTGTGCCTCCACTAATAAGCAGCAGTTCATGACGAGGTTGACTACAGAGGAGTACACACAGATCCCAAAGCATATAATAGAAGGGCAGCATTAATCTTCTGTTACGAAATCAAGAAGTATGTTGTGCATGGAAGTGGTCAGGGCTGGATGTTAAAATGCCTCTCCTCTGGAAAAGATGGTTTGTAACTCAAGATTTTCTATAGACAGTTTTAAAAAATTTATTTCCTCATTAAAATAGGCAGACTTTTTTATTGGAAGGAGAGAAAGAAGGACTGGAGAGGGGCCTGCAATACACATTTGAGCCAGATGTGAGTAACTAATGGGGAGGAAGGAGACAATTTCTCACTATGTTTCTCCCCGGTCTCTATTCAAGCTGCTATAAAAAAAGACAACATGGCTGAAATACTAGTTAAATGGACAGAAGTCTGGCTTGACTGCAAGCTAAAGTGGAATTTTATTACACTTCACAAGAGGCACGATTTCATCAGGAGACTTTACAAAACTGACAGCAAGCTTAAACGAATCACAAGGCAATTTAACTGTGTGTTAATCAGGAATTTAATAATAAATTAAAGAAAATCTAAAGCTAAAACTATACTTTTATAGAAGTTCACCCATCTCTCTTACTAGCACAAAAAGAATAATGAAATGTTTCTCTAGTAAATCAGTGCAGGTTCAGAAAGATCAAAGATTTCTAATACCTACACGGTCCACTGAGCAGGTGTGGTTACTCCTCTGCAGCCAAATGCAGGAGAGTAATGAACAACTACTGCAAGCTTTATATCTCGTTATCTTTCAGTCTGGCCTCTGGCAGGCACAGTATTGGAACAGTTTCATTCTAGTATATATGATCTCTGCAGATTATGAATTCTTATTTCCCTGTGAAGGTACTTACAGCAAAGACAGTAAATCCACTACTGCTGGAAAAGAGTCCAGAAAGACAGAAAGGCAGGGGAAGACCTAAACCAGGGCTTATCCTCCAGTTCATGGAGGCATTTATTAAAACCCAGTAGGAGCAGGAAGATCAGTCCATCTTCCTTCTTGCCAGAAGTTGGCCCTGCAACATCTGCAAGCAGGGGCATTAACCAGCCCTTTTTGTCCCAGACTTCAGGTTGCTTCTGCTGCTTCCACTGCTTAGGTTCTTGCAGGCTTATGTACGTTCACAGCTAACCCACCTCATACAGGTTATTTCTGTCATGTAAGATCCCCTGCTTT